ATAGTTAATCAGTTAAGCATTTTGTCGAACACTTGATGGTCTTGTTGTCACCAGCAAATTAAGTTGCGCACATATCAATAGATATTGATCTATGCCTAAGCAATTTGATGAGTACTATTGAGAGAATTTGTTGAGTGTTGTCGATGCAATCTGTGAGAGGTATTTTGTTAAACACTTGGTAAACACCAAAAGGACCGTTATTAAATATTAGAAGAGTCCTAAAAAAACCTATACAAACGAGACTTCAAAAGAGAAAAGAAGACAATAATCACATGAGTTGAAAAGGAGGTGGGTTCAAATTTAAATTTATAAATCTCTCGTACATTTATATATCTCAGAATATAAATGTATGGAAACCGAATTTCCAAATTTCAAAATTCAAATTTGCATCTTTCCGTTATCCTACATAACAATTTGCTAAAGCAATAAAAGCTCAGCCTAACTTTTCTTAAGAGACTACATATATGAATTAGCATTTGACTCCATACATACAAGTAAAGCACGGCAAAGCAATCAAGAAGGGAAGGGATGGAGATATGCTTTTGTCACAAAAAGAAATTGGTGTGGGTTTTTAAGGTTTCACAAAATTGGTTACTTGTACTAGCTACTCTTCCTAGTTTACAATTTGAGGATGGTGATAATTCTCCATGAATAACAAGTGGTCCTTGTTCCTCCCACAAATGAAATGAATAGATTGTTTCATGGCCTTACAAGTTACAATCCAAAAGGATGGTTCCCGTGGCCCTGTAACTCAAAAGACATTTGTTGCTTTCCTTCAACATGTTGTGTTCTACAAGTCTCCATTCGCCACTCGAATGGAAGCTAGAGATGGCAACAGCAAATTAATCATCAGGTATTATCTATAACCATACTCATCGGGTAACGGATTTTCAATCGGCTAATGGTTATATCCATCTTTGTCAATAAAAAAAATATATTCATTCAATTGACGCATGATAATTTTGTAAATATTAATTTCATCATTAAATATTTGATGTATAAAATGATGTAATGAATGGATCTTGTGAAGCATAAAAATTAAAGCTAAACGTTGATAATGTTGGTTTGATCTTTGATATCTCCCATAAGTACCATTGAATTCTCATAGATTTTCATTTATATTAAAACTTGGGAATTGTTATTGGCACTCCAAAAATCTCATTCTATATCCAAACTTTCTATATTTGGAAAGAAAAATACACTTGTGAGGAGTGTAGAATAAGATTTTTAGAATGACAATAACACTTCCCTAAAACTTTTGAACTTTTCCACAAAATGCAACTTACACAATGCAATTATTGTATTTTCAAGGTAATGGATTCGATGAATAATAAATACATATATGTATATATTATTTAATACTTTAATATTATATATAATATATATTATTCGGTTCAGATTTGGGGATAGATACAGATTGGGGATCCCTATAACCATATTCAAAATCATAACCGAATAATAATCACGGTTTTTCCCCATACCCAAAATATACCCGGATTTTCATACCCAAATCCAATCTATTCGGATGGTTATCCATGTTTATCGGGTTTAACCGTTAGAATTGTCATCCCTAGTGGAAGCTTGTGGAACAAATATGTTAAATCATTGTCCAATTTAATCAGTTAAGTCTCAATTCATATAAGGTGATCAAACAAAGGTCAAGGTATTAGTCCAATTCAACAGATTTAGTTTTGTTCAACTTAGATCGAGTCACTACAAGAAGATGAATTCAAACTTGGCTATAAGAGAGTCGATACCTTGGCATAGCCAATTGACCAGAACTTACATCTGCGTGAGTTTAACAATTTTTACTTGCTCATTACCACTACATTTCTTGAAATTTTCGAGAGATTTTTCAGTGTGATTGGAACACGGAGTGATACACCACGTGTTACTATACAAATAGTAGGATATGTGTGTTAAAAAGTTAAGAACTTAAAAAATACAATTTCTCACCACTTATATAAAAACACGTTGTGTGCCACTTATGTTACGGTCACAATGAAAAATTTATCGAAAAGTTGGTACTTGGTGGGTGGGTAAATATTTTACACAAAGTAATCTTTCCTCTTATGACTACATATTAATATATTGACTCAATTTGCAAGAGAGGACAGGCGGCTGATTTTGTGGCTATTGCTTGCTAAATAGAACACAAAATGGAAGGGCGGTAGACTCCTTTGTTCAAGATAAAGGCTCGTTGTAATCACCATTATTTTTTTAGAATGTTCTTCCCATCTTGTTCTTTTAGTTTTACCCTTATTTTTTAGAAAGTTTCGAGTAATATATCCGACCCCTTATTAGTAGTACATATCTTACAAAAGTATGATATATTCTTGTGTTTTAATCTCATATGATTTTTGTACTAGTCTCATTTAATGTGAGAATTGTCTTAATTAAGTAGTCTTATCGAAGTTTTTCTCGTTATATATGTTTTACCACTTAAAATATGCATCCATTCCATAATAAAGTTAAGGTAGATCCTAACAACTTATAATGTTAGTGATAAACACTTGGAAGTATTGAACTCAGGACCAGTTAAATGAAAATGAATAGTATTAAAAAACCACCGCGCCCAGCCCAATATAAATACGGGCAACTGTGGTTAATTTGCAAACAAACACCACCTCGTAAAGTTTGCATGTTTACTACAATTACGCATACATACGTACAAACAAACAAACACCACCTCATAAAGTTCGCATGTTTATCAAAATTTTCACTTGAGAATTGAGAGAGAAGCTATGGCAATTTTCGGACGACTGCTGAGAACTGCTCCACGATCCTCCGCCCCCCTCCGTTAAACCCTATGCCCTAATCCTCCTCCGCGCGCTCTGTCACCCGACGTCCCATTTCCTCCTCTCCGTGACACCGTAAGTAACTCTCTCTCTCAACTTTTCCAAAATTTCAAGATTTTTCTTGGTAAATGGTTTGATGCTTCTAATTAACAAATGAAATTCAGGCTCTTTTGAGCAACAATTTTCATTCCAGTGCGTCTGAGATTGAGATTCAGCTGCCAAAATCCGCACGGAAACCAAAGCTGTGGTGGTGGTTGCAGCCGTGCTCTCGGGTTTGTTCGCTGGTGCAATCCTAATTGCATATAAAGATCTGTCTAAATTGTGTGACGCGGCTGTTGCAGATCAGGCTAAATTCGGCGAGTTTGCAGAGAGCGTAAAGAGAAGAGAGCTCAGTACACAATGAACCGATGAAGCTTTAGCCAATGCACTAAATTGGTCCTACTTAGACAGTAACGTAACGTATTTCTGCATCAATTTGTGTGGGACTGTGATTATTACGTCAATTAGCAATGCATACTTGAACTTGCTTTATTCTGGAATTTTTTGGAAGTCTGCAGGATATTTCTAAGCTTACTTTGCCAGTAGCGTTTGCTGGTGCTGTCGAGGGACAAAAGGTTATTGCAGTTAGTTGAATTATTCTGTGTGGTTTGTTTGTTCTCGTAAAAGAATCCATCTATCTCACTCTTTCAAACAGTGTTTCACACGAGCTTATAACGGGTATAGGTTTCAATCAAGGTTCAAATTCCCGCGACAAGTGACGCTGCACAGCTTATTGCCAATATGGCTTCTGATCTTGGACTAATAATAGAGTGGTGGTGGTGGACTGGTGGTGGTTTAGATGCGTGCCATTCGCGTTTCTTTGTTTGGCGCAGGTATTGTTAGAGCAATAGTTTTTCGGTTCTATCAGTGTTTCCTCCGTTCTAACCATCACATTTGGGTTATTTTATGCTGCGTTTGTTTGAGCCCCTTATCATTAATCGTGGTTTTGTGCACCGAAATATGTTGTATTGTGCTATCTATCCTTGTGAACTATGTCAGTCGAGTTTCTTGGCAACTAAGTAATGATACCTCGTCCAAAGAATAAGAAGGAAATTGGAGGTGAAGGTGGGAATCTGCGAATTCATGTATTCCGCTCAGTAATTCCCTTTTCAGATAGATTTGTAAGTCTCTCTTTTATGCTGATTGTGAATATATTGCACTGCAGTTGGTCAGAAGTGTTGTCTTTTGAGATTTTCATATCAGTCAGCATAATTATTTCAGGAAATTGAATTTGTCATGGATGGGAGCTGGGTCCCCAAAAGAGATGGATGCTCTGGTACGTGTCTACTTTTTCTTTGCAAGTAATGGGGTTTTAAATAATTATACAAAAAAAGCGATTCAGCGTTGGGTTGGCATTTTACGTTAGCAAATTTACAATATTTTAATTTACACTTTATGGTGACTAATACCACACCAAGTTAAAACAGTTGAAAATTTAAAAAGAGGAAAATTCAATGCTCACTCCTCAAAGAATGATTTGTATGAAACAGGAAAATCAAATAATTAATCAATTATAAAACTCGCTAGTTATGATCTTATATTTAATTGATGATGGGATAAATGTGGACTAACTTATGGGTAAATGCAAAAATAACACTTGCATCACTGAAATCAAAATGTTCGGGGTTCTTTGTTGTTTTCGATGGAAAGGGATCATCTCCGGATCCCTTTCATCAAATCCATCCAATCATTTAATCCGGATCCTTAAAATTTGATCAAACGGCTAAAGTTATTATACTTTTTAAAAGGGCCATATGTTTATAATCGTTTAATCAAATTTCAAAGACTCCGATTGATTGATTGGATGAATTTGGTAAAAGGGATCTGAAGAAGATCCCTTTCCGTTTTGGATAAACATCGATTAAGAGGAAGCAGGAGTTCCATGTAACTTTCACGTTAACCTAAAATTCGGGTCAAACATCTAAAAAATATAAATTGATACAATATCGAAACTTCAACGTGCAGTGTGAAGAAAAATTGAAACATCGGCTCATTTTGTAGAAAATCACAAATTTTGAGGGTGCAAATTGCAGTTAGCCCAAACTTGAAGGTGTAAACAGTAAACTTCGGAAACATCATACACACGCGCAACTGAAGTGCGTTGAAGACGTTTTAAGTGAGGCACTCAGAAAGCTGAACAGTCGGTCAATAGTCAAGTTCTCTCTGTTTGGTTTCGATTCTGAGATAGCAAATGGCGTCGGAGGACAGGAAAAAGAGTCGAACCGGAGGAATCCGTACACTTTCCGATCTGAACCGGAGGTCTGCGGACTCGGACAGTGACTCCGATGGCCCTCCGGAGTACTACACTGGTGGCGAGAAAAGGTCCGTCCATCTCTCTCTTTCCGATTATCCCTTTTTAACATTTCCTTCAATTTCCGGATCATATTTTTTATTTGGTTTACGAAAGTCTTGGTCTTTCTGGTTTGTTTGTATTATTCCATGCTTGTTTTTCTTCGAATTTATGAATCTTTGTATGTTTCTCGTTGCCAATTCTTCATGTTTGTTTGCTAAATTATATCAATTAAAACATAAAAATCTGGAAATTTTATGCTTTGGTGAGGAAAAGGAGGCGTTTTTATCATCAATTGGGTTGAAATTCTGATATATTGCCTTCAATTTCGTTTTGATCAGATGGGTTGAAGTTGTTATGAAACTCTTAATTGTGTGTAGACATTTCTGGGTTCCATTAGGGAACATATTTGTAGGCGCTTATGATGGCTTGAAAGCGAGTTTTACGGGAAATCCGCTGCGAGATATGTACTATTTTTTGTCTTAGTATTACAACAAGAATACTTCCATGCATGATTATGGAACGGTCATACTCATATTTGTTGAACTCAATGATTAATATACAATAATGCACACATACACAAAAATAGACTGAGTCCTGCTTAGTCTGTAAATTTCAGGTGAAGAGTAAGAAATAAGTAATTCATTTCTCGATTACTATATTGAACCAGAATTTGTAGTTACTGGTCAAGTTTCCAGGATAAGTAGGTGTTTTAACATTTAACCGAAAGCTTTTTAGAGAGGAGTCTACATCTTCAACTCGTAGCATTGTCCAAAGTGGACCTATAACGGGATTTTAATTGTGGGAACTAATTTTAGTGGTTCTCCTTGTGGTTTTGTTAATCTTATTGAGGCTGTACATAAGCATCATTGGCAGCTGCCATTTGGTGGTCTTTGTTTGGTATGAAGAGCTTCAAGTGAAGCCATTTTCGAGAGCTTAGATTTCATTTGGATAGCTGCACACTGTAACACTTAAGTTTGAATTGATTTCTTAGCTTCTAGAGGAGCGTGATGGTGAGTCGATACTGCGTTTGGAAGGGGTTTGCTAGAACTGTATCTACCATCTTGTCTGCATTGCATTGTGACTTTGGATCCTTGTAGATCTGACCTTGTTTGGACATCCGTGGGTGATATCATGTTCACTTTGTATTCTATTTACAGGTTTGCAATGCATTCGTTCCGTTATGCATCACAGTGGGGCCTATGCCTTGAAGGGAATAGTATGACGTTATGCATGGTCTGCTTAGTATCTATTTTATATCTGTGATTTGTTAGATTGTGTTTTATTTACATTGTGGTCTTATGTCATGTCTAAGTCTTGTTATTATTTTATCATTCTTATGTCACGGGTAGTGTCCTTGTTTTGATAAAATCTTTATCTTTTTGTCTTACAGAAATTAACAATCCTAGAAGCTCATAATTTTTGTATGAAATTTTGAAGAAAGTCTAACATGTGTAATTACAATACTTGCAGTGGAATGCTTGTCCAGGATCCTACGAAGGATAACGACGTGGATTCCATTTTTGATCAAGCAAGGGAGTTAGGAGCCACAGAGGGGCCTTTTGATCCTTCTAGTGCATCTTCAAGCTCAAGAAGCTTTGCTGGAACTGGTAGATTACTCTCTGGGGAAACTGTACAACCTACTCCTGCGCAGCCCGAGACTGTTGTTCACAACATCATTTTCTGGTCTAACGGTTTCACTATAAACGATGGCCCCTTAAGGCGGCTGGACGATCCTGAAAATGCATCTTTCTTAGAGGTAATATCAACGGAAGTTTGACTCATAGAAAAAAAAAAAAGGAAACTAGTGGATTATAGTATCAGTTGTTGTGGTGGAGGGTGTCCATTAACGTCCTCTAAACTTATTTTCTGTACAGTCTGCATTGTACATTCGTTACTTCATCCTCTTATGCATTAGTTAATGTTATGACTATGCATGTGATCTCATGGATGAATTTTCTCATGCATAAGCACTGGTTTGATTTTGCTCTGTGTCATGGTATTCCCATAAATGATATTTCATCTTATTCTTTGTCTCAATGCAGAGCATCAAAAAGTCTGAATGTCCAAAAGAGTTGGAGCCTGCAGATAGAAGTACCTCAGTTCATGTCAATCTAATAAGGAGGAATGAGAAGTGCCCAGTGAGTTCTCTCTTCAAGATCTCCTTTGTACAATTCCATTCGGAAGTATCTAAGTTGAAGATTCTCCAATGATCTCATATCTGCATTTGCATTTCTCTTCTGTCAAATGTGTTTCAAATTTAGATGGCCTGCTCTCAAGGGCCAGCGGACAATATTATAAATTACAAGCCATTTATATTTCTTTCCGTGCAGGAACCGGTGAAGCGACATATTCCATTTCAGGGTGTGGGAAGAACTCTGGGTGGCAGCTCTACTCCAGCAGCATCTGAGCCAACGACTGCATCGACTTCTCTTAACACTGCTCCAACCCCCTCTGCGGGCTTGGTTGTGGATGAAAAGTTGCCGTCAACATCAGTTCAACTTAGGTTGGCTGATGGGACCCGTATAGTTGGACATTTTAACTACCATCATACCATCAATGACATTCGTGGCTTCATTGATACATCTAGGCCTGACGGTCCAAGGAATTATCACCTGCAGATTATGGGGTTCCCTCCCAAGCTCCTCAATGATCCGAGTCAAACAATTGAGCAGGCAGGCCTCGCCAGTTCGGTTGTGATCCAGAAATTATAGCCGGCTGGACCATGACATATGCTGTTTGTCCGTTAGCAATATATGTACCAGGTATTAAGAACTTGAACCTGTACTGTTTAATCCATATGTACATTGTATTTCAAGATGTGGGTCTGACTGTAAAATACGTTTGGAAACTATAAAGCATCGTCGTTCAATTTGAAGAACTAAATACTAAGGCAATGGGGAGAATTTCTGTCGGCGTTGGCATCCGGCAAGCAATTTTCATATCAGCTACTTGGTTTGGCATGGAATGATTACTTATGCTCATTTGTAGAGTTCTGATAAGGTCGGAGCTTTCTGCTAGCATCTTCAGTGTGGCTGCCATATGCGGAATCTCGAATTCTCTGCATACGGATGATGCACTGAACATTTTCTCCAAAGGGAATGGAGCTCCATCTTACCCTGGAACACCTTTGATTTGCCTTTTCTTGACTCAAAAAATGGTAATAACGCTTCCAAAGATCTTCTGACCTTTTCCTAACATTTGTTAAATGCGAAAACTCAACGGTTGCATTTTTCTCAAAAAAATTTTAACTAATGTTCATCGTTTTTATGGTTTTGCGAATTTCTACAAAAACCATCATAAAACCTATTTTTGTACAAGTTATTTCGCAAGAACTTATGAATTATAAGTCCCGCTTTTCCATCGCATTTACGAATGTCTACAAAAATCACAATAAAACTTATTTGTGTTATTCTTTTCATCAAAACATAAGCTTGTGGAAATTCAAGTTGGACATTATAAAACTACATGCCAACTCGGTAAGGAGTGAGTTAGTACAAGGAGGCACATACAACATGGTATGTGGTCTGGTCTCCATTTCTTGGAGTGATTGAGTGTGGGATGGGAACTAATTAGGTATCTCAACTCAGTCGAGCTCCGTCCATAGTGGCATAGAAGATTGGACACCAAAAGCCGTATGTTGTCGGCCAAAACATCTGTTTATATGCTTTTATATGTCCTATTCCTTTTTTTTTTTTTTTTAAGAAGATGAAAGATGTTTTTGAACGATAAGAGGTTTGGTCGCCTAATAATATTAGTTAAAGGTCTTCAAAAGGTGAGATTCTCTGTCTCAAATTTGCAACCGATACGTAATGTCAGTGATGTTAATCGCTCAATAGATATTTATTACGTGTTCACAAAGTGAATTATTTGACTAGCAATCACTTATTACGTTGATGAATTGATGAGAAACGAGTCTATCTACTTCAAAAGAGCGAAAACCCTCAACAAACCCTTTTAAGATTTAAGAATCTAATCTCTAACTCCAATCATTACCAAAAAGCCTCCCCCTTCTATATCCCACATAATGTTTCTACTAAACTAATTATCGACAGATTTAAGATTAATGTTAAGGTTGATTAATACCAGTTCCACGCGAAGGAAGCAAAGCTTAATGGGAGCAAAGAGGCAACACAAAGGGAAAACATGATAAGATAACTTCAAAGTAGAAAAGCAAATGACCTCTTTCTAGTTGGCTGGGAGTTATCTCCTAATGGAATATACATTATAAGCTTTGTTTATGTTGACCAATGGTAATATTCTTTTGTCAAAATCAATTATGTGTATATTTCATTTCGTTGTACCCAACCTTTTATATATTTCAATGTTTTCCTTTTCTTTTATGGTTGAGAGCAAGTTCTATGTTGTAAAAACATGATTTTTATGGGCGTTTGTTGTTCAATTTTGTATGGTAAAACGAAATTCCTACAAATAGACTTAAATACTAGTAATTCAATTTCAAGCAATTTTTAAATGAATCCAGCACAATATTAAACTATAATTATATAACTTGAGATATGAGAGATTATCACGCACATCTATTCGTTATTGGTATTCAATAATTTTTATTCTCTTTTCTCAATCATTGGATTCAAAACATTATACTAAGAAATGAATTTTTATGTACAACGTAGATTCCTCAATGCCCTACAACGACAGCTTTGGCAAAAGCAAGGCCTGAAAAACCAAGTCCTTGATTGGGAAAATAAGGGAAAAAAGATATCGAAACGAGACAATAAAAAAGAAGAAGCTGGAAGGCTGCATTTTCGGGAACAACATGCAGAAGAACATAGAACCAAAAAGAACAATTACAATATGTGCAACGTAATTTATAAATATCTACTCAGGTAGACTGTTAATGCAGCTAGCTAGCTACAGCCTACAACTCGGTTGTACCATGTGAATCAACATATCAACCTCATTGGATGGAATTGTCATCCTTGACTGACTGGATATGCATTGACAAAGTAATACATGTCCTTTGGGGAACATGTTGGAGGGATATATATCTTGAAAATTAAATAAAAGTAGTGTGGAATTTTTCTGCAAATATACAAGTTTGGGAATTATACGCACAGAAGAACTACCTCGCGACGTCGATTATCTCATCATCCCCACGTTTATATTTGCATTTAGAGATTAAACTGCTAAGACTACACCCATTTTAATTAAACTTTTACCCTTTCATAAGTGCAAATAAAATCTTTCCTTCCTTTACTATACATGCATCTCTATAATTTCCTTTTTCTATACAGGAGATTGAGATAGAGAGAATTGAATTCATATTCGAAATTTTGAGTGTAAAAGGAAATGCTTTGAACGAGCGAGTTTCAAGCTCTTGCCATGCATCTTCTGATCTTCATATTTGTATCATTCACTCTTTCACTTTAGTTCTTCGGCCAGCTCACAATGAGACTCTAAGGTACCATCATCATTGTTTCCATTTTGCCATATATATATATATGTGTGTGTGTGTGTGTGACAACTGGACTCTTTGTGAAGATTCTTTGCTAAACGACTTTCGCCATATAGAGCCAAAGGGCGAGGCTCCATTCGGCCAACCCGGATCAAACAACCGAAGAACATGCTTACTATAATACGACAAATAATATTGTGCAATTAGTAAGGATAATCACTTTTTGGACAATTAGTTTCAGAAATGATTACATCATCATTGAGTAGTCGTTATATATTATTATTAAGTCATCCGTATATGATCAATTTATCGTTATTATTAAAATTGATCATTTCCACATGAAATATAAAATAACAATCATTTCTGCTAATTACTCAATATTATTCTCAAATGATTTTTTTTTATAGGAAAACTAATGAAAATGCTTGAAAATTTTGAACTTTAATGATAAGGACAAAATGAAGGATAAAGTGAATAGTATCAGGATTGATTTTTTAGTGTAAAAATATGATTTTTCATTAAAATGAACCGTACATAAAACTTTTCGTTAAAGTTTATTTTTTTTATCGGCTTGCTACTTCTAGTGCAACAAAGGATCATGTAATCTTTTTTCTTTGTTGGGAAACAAAAACGAAAATTAAAGTAAAAGAAGCATAAGCAATACAAAAAAGGTCGCTTGGGTTGGGTTTAGGGTCAAGTAATTTTATTTAAACATTTAATAGATAATATCTGGCTTAGACTTCAAAAAAATGTTGGATTTTTTGGCTTAAAACTGAAAAAGATTAACATGAGATAGATATTGATGATTTTTCAGATATAAGAAATATAAGATAACATAAATCAATGAAAATAGTGGTACTAAAAACATGCAGTATCATGACATCAAAAATGTATTTTTTCCATTGATAAAACTTTTGAAAATAAAAAGATAATGTTAAAGAGATTATTTTTTTAAATTATATTTTTGTAAAATATATGAGTAATTGTTTATGATTAAATTATTACTTAGATATTAATTAACGTGTTTAAATTAGATTGGTGACTAATTATATATTTTGTAAATATAACCTAAAAAACTGGTTTACCAACTATACTCAAAATAAAAATACAACACGACTTTAACAAGATTAGCTAAGCTCAAGCTTGCTGATTTATTTTTTTTTAAAGTGAATAATCCTTAACTTCTTTCTATATAATCCATAATAAATTGCCTTTGATAAAAATAATAATAATAATATAGCAGTGTAATTGTTTATCCAAGTGATAATATGTCGTTCACAGATCACTATTATCCTGATCCTAGCAAAAGTCTTAAATCTGTTGACAAGAAAAAATGTTTTAAATTTGCTGACAAGAATAAAAGTCTTAAATTTGGCCTTTAAAATATATTTTATTCTATGGCTTCTAGAATATATCTGATATAATTCTATTATTCAACTGTTGTTGGACAGGACGTAAAGTGCATGTCAGATAAGCTTTGTTTGCGAAGTGAGATTTTTTAGCGTAACCAAAAACACAATCTAGTACATTTAATTGCCATAATAAATGTAGTTAAATACTTAAAATAAAAATTTAAGTGTGAAAATTTTCGAATCCGGATCCTCTTTATGATGATTCTGAAGATCCAAGAATCTTATATATTCATCATACATTATGAGATTATAATTTTTTTAAATTTTTTTATTTAAAATTAAAAAAACAGTACTTAATAAAAATTGATAGCACAATATATGATGAATAAAGAAGATTTTCGAACATCAAGATCCTCACTAAAACGATCCGAAGAGGATCCGTTGGAAAAATTTCTTGTTTGCAAAGAGCCTAGGCCTATCCCTCTATAAGCTCTCTCCCTCCCACCTACACCTACACACTTCCACTTCAAGTCTTCAAGAGGAGGATCCTCTTCTGAGCTAAAGATGAGGATTCTCTTGATTAAAGACTGTAAGTCGTTTAATGAAAATCTAACGTCTACAAACAAACGGATTTATTTAAAGTTATAATAATTATAGCCGTTGAATTTTCATTCAACGGTCCACACTTCTTGATCATGAGGATCCTCGTCTTTAGCTCAGGAGAGGATTCTAATCCAAGTCTTCAAACCCTTCACGCTTTGAAACTTCTCGGTTCACACCAGTGACGTATCTGTAACGTTATATCTTTACTTACTCTTTCTATTCCTACGATTTGTGACGCTTTCGCGTGCTATTATCCTCCTATTCTCTCACCCCATTTCAAAACCCTAACCCTAACCCTAACCCTACAGCCACCTAACCGTAATTCTAAACCCTAACCAAAATCCAAGTACCTTGCTGCCTGCTTACAAATCAAATGTCCCATTTTTCAATCTCTGAACTCTGTTTCTCTCTCCCCAGAACACACACACCAGGAAAAAAAAACAAATAGTATTCCAATTTAATCAGTTTCAGGTTGATTTGTCTTTTGATTCCTAAAAACAAATAGTATTCCAATTTAATCAGTTTCAGGTTGATTTGTCTTTAGATTCCTAATATTTTTGTTTGGAATATTGTCAG